AGATATTTTTAATTGATTAGAACCATTTGGAATCACACCAATCAGCGTTATTCATAGTCGAAAGATTTTGAATTTCCTGGAAAGCATTTGAACATACCTTTAGCTGTTTCCAATTGATTTTGACGCAAACCAATAACTTAAAGAAAGTGAAAAAAGACATTTATTTCATTAAAAAATACACAACAACAATCAAATTAACCATAAAACCCAACAACTGTGTATTTTCATTTAGATCACTCGCAACGTTACATCCCATTTTATCGTTACATTCGCAAACAGTTATCGAAAAAAGTTGGGTTACTTCGTAATAACACTGTTGAGCGCTTTTGTGAAAAGCCGTACACTCTCTGATATACGTTATAGTTGGTGTATCGTTAACGAATGCGGCTGTAATAAAAAATTGTTAAAAAAGATTTCTTTCAAATAAAGACGATTAATTTCTTTACTGTTTTGGATAATTTTTCGACACCACACGTCTTTACTTTTTACAGTATTATCCATTAATTCCACCGTGTCCGTATTTTCAAAAGATGGGCATGGTGTTAAATAAGCAGCAGATGGTTTTTCCTCAGCACAACTTCCATTTAAATCCGATCTACATTGATAACAATCCATTGCTGTATTATCTTCGGAGGATCTCCCAGAAAGAGTCGAATTCATTGATTTCGTCGAATTACGAGATTTCACCGATTTAGATGATTTAGTCGTTTTGGTGGAATTAGTTTTACTAAAACTTCCTTTTAAATCAATTAAAACAATCATTAAAATTATTATCGTGGGATTAGGAATCATTTTTGACGTTTTTTGATTTTTTTAAACGTTTATTTTTGATAGATTCAGGTTAAGTGAATATTTTATAATGGTTAATAAGGAAATAAACTATTAAATAAATTGGAAATTTTGCATCTCGGCTAAATTGACTTTAAGGTCCAATTTCCTGATTATAAACTATCTTTGATATTCAATAAGTTTCAAGATTAATGTGCTTGGAGTCAGTACGTAAAATGAAAATGTAAATTTACTAGCAAAAACATATAATTATGTATATTTCATTGTAGATCCTTTCAAATTGAAATGTTAACCCGCTTGTGAAATATATTTAATCAACGGCACAATTTACTTTATCTATGATTAATGAGGGTATTTGAATAATTACTCGATTTGAATAATTATTCACTATTTCAGCCGGTCCATTTATAATTGATCAATCGAGATCGCTTATTGTCTTCTCACGAAAACAATCGTTTATTATAACCCACAGGATGATTTGCAATTCATATTAAGCAATTCGTTTTGATTCAAAAGGTTTTGTATAAAATTAGATTAAAAAATATTTTTTTGAAATTATAATGTGGTGATTTCATACGAATTGAGTTGGGTTGCATAAACAACATTTAATATGAGGTTTTATGTTCGGATATGAAAAGGAACCAAAATAATAACCATACAAAATTATTTAAATTAATGATACGAAATACGTTATATTGCCAGTTTTATACGAAATAAGAAAAATGTAATATTAAACATATTTATGCAGTTTAAAGTTTGGAAGACTTTGTGAAACCTGATTAAGATGTTACATCATCAACACCAAGATCATGTGGAGTACTATGAAACTGGAAAATGATTTTAAAGGCAAAAAAAGGACTTGGCATAAACGAGGAATACTAGAAGGAGACAGGTAATAGCAAATGGAGATTGAACAGAAAGACTGGAGAAACAAAAAAAGTTGGGGCAAAGAGGAAGGAAAATGAAAAAAGATTGTAAATGTAAAAAAAGGACAGACATAGAAGTGGAAGGCTTTCAAGGGTCTCTTAATAAGAGAGGGAGACTAAACGGAAGCTAGAAAGAGATGATAGAAACTGGAAGAGTGAAACTAGACCAGTAATAGAATAAACAGATTGAGCAAAAACTGGAAAGTGAGCAGCAGTTAAACAGTTTACAATAGTAGTTTACTTATAACTAGGCGTCACACCCACTTAGTGTTGCCAACTTAAAAACTATTACATTCAACAACCTATCTCAAATTAATGGTTCACCATCACATTCAACACATTGCAGCTGCTACATATTCTTTGATGACCATGATACCAAATTTCCATAATAGTAACTCGCCATAAACTCTTACGATCAGTTCAATCCGTTCCACAATCAGAATCAGAGTATGCTTCAATTTTTCTGTTCACAAATCATGTCTTTTATATGTTAAATAGACACTCTTCGTATTTTTGACATATTTTAGCACCCCCTTTGCTGCCTTCCATGTACTCATGGTTGGTTTAACCAAAAATCTTCCTAAAAAAGATGTTGCTAATGATATATCAGGTCTAGATATTGTTGTCAAATAATTCAAACATCCAATTAATACTCTATATGGAACGTTTACCATATTGTCGTTCTTGTTGACTTGATATCCAACTGCCATAGGAGTCTTAAATAATTAACCATATTGAATTTCTTCATAATTTTATCTTATCGAACCTAGAAACATTTTTATTTCTCCCAAATATTTAGCATTAAATTCTTTAGTTAAGTTCTCGTAGATTGTTCTAAGGCTTTTTTCTTCTCTAGTGATAATGATATCATCGACGAACACTACATCCATACCGTTTCATTGGGCACGTTCAGCCGGTGTCAACTGTTGAGTATCTTAGCACTATATTAGCAGTCGCGGCTGAAGAATACGCTAAGTAAGCGCTGTTAAGCAGCAGTTTAGTAAATATCTCAGCATAAGTAATCTGCGCTTAGTTTGTCAGCGGTTGTGAAATTCTAAGTTAAGATTAACATTTTTTGTTTCTCCCCTTTAATATTGAAAACTGACAAAACTGTATAAAAATGAATATTGTTAATGCAGAAACGCATCTTGAACTATCTCTTGTAATAGCACAAAATTTTCAAAAATATTATTGTTGGCCATAGTTTTAGGTTATGCAGAACCGCTAATTCTCAATTGCTTAATCAGCCGATTTCGTTCCGCTGTATTAAAGCTTATACAACTATCTGACTGATTTAATTCAATTGTTGACACCTATTGAACGTACCCATTGTAATATACATACATCATATCCAGATCTTTTCAAATTGTTCTTTTGTGGGTACTTATTAAATGTATCGTTCCAAGATTTCGGTGATTCTCGTAAACCATAAATTGCCTTATTTAATTTCCATGCATAATTCCTATCATTAATCTTGAATAAATTTCTGAATTCAGACAACCGTTTAGAAAGACACTTAATAGTTTTTTATAGCATAACATGAAGACTAAAAATAGTAGGCAGAGACTAAACGGGAATTAGAGACATAAAAAAGAGACTGGAACTAGCAAAAGGAAGAAATTGTACCGAGTCTAAAAAGAGAAGAAGAAATTGGGCTGAGAAGAGAAAAACTGGAAAGATACTGTAAGTGCAAGAATGGGAATAGACATAGAAGAGAAAAACTAGAAAGTGGGTGGTAAAGAAGAAAGAGAGTCAATTGAGACTGGAAAGAAGAAAAATATTGGAAAGATTGAGATGTTTCTTCCAGTACAATATTCAATAATCTTAGGATACTATTTATTTAGGAAAGCGGGCTACAAGGTACAGAATTGGAACTGGTCCTTTACCTCCTATACATAGCAGATTTGTCTATAAACCAGTGTTAAACTTATGGCAATCAACTTTGAGGTTGTACCAGTCAAAAAGAGTCTAAATATCGTGAAAATGAAGATTTAACAAGTCTTTTCAGACAAAGTTAATCAACATAATTGTGTGGAATAGCTACAATTTTTGTGGGAAATCTGAACAACGAATCTGCAAAACATTTGCAAACAGGTGGAACAAAAAAATTGATTAATGGAGATGTTGCAGACTTTTACTCCAAATGAAGTACTACCGTAAAATCTTCTCAAGTACAATCGTTCCATTCATTTTATCTGGTTTTTATGTGATATGAATAAATTTTTGAATTCAGATAACCGTTTAGAAAGACACTTGGTGTGTCAAATTGATGCACTTTATATTAATGATGTAAAGCATGAGCTAAAAAGTTGAGCCTTTTGCTACTAATCTCGCCTTCTTTACACCATTGTGTCTTATTTTAAATACCCATCTTGTTTCAATTAATTTTTATCATCAGGTTTTTTTATGGCATAACATGAAGACTGGAAATAGTAGGCAGCGACTAAACGGGAACTAGAGACATAAAAAGGATACTGGTAGAAAAAGGAAGAAATTATACAAAGTTTAGAAATAGAAGAGGAAACTGGGCTGAGAAGAGGAAAAACTGGAAGGAGACTGTAAATGCAAGAAAGGGAATAGATATAGAAGAGAAAAAGTTGAAAGTGGGTAAGTGAGTAAAGAAGAAAGAGAGTCAATTGAGACTGGAAAGAGGAAAGATTAAGATGCTTCTTCCAGTCCAATATTTAATAATCTTAGGATTCTATTTATCTAGGCAGGCTACTCTAAGGTTGTACCAGTCAAAAAGAGTCTAAATATCATGGAAACGATGTTTTTTTTCATGTGGAATAGCTACAATTTTTGTGTGGTATCTGAACAACGAATCTGCAAAACATTTGCAAACTTGTGGAACAAAAAAATTGATTGATGGAGATGTTGCAGACTTTTACTCCAAATGAAGTGCTACCGTAAAATCTTCTTAAGGTTATTCGATATTTCTTTATCATTTCATTCATTTTATCTGGTTTTTATGTGATATGAATCTTATTCGTTTGTAAAACGGTAGTAGTGGAAATGAAATATTCTTGCCGATACCCAGCACTTAAATTCTCCAAATGGTAATTTGATCTCCATTTTAAATAACCGTTAAATGCGCTGCCGGTAATAAATAACGCGAGATAAGAACTCTCCCGGTGGAGAGAGAATAATTTTCTCGCGCGGACAAAAATAATCGAATTACGGCCCGAAACGAGAGCAAAACGATCATCCTTGCTCCGCCAACAAGCGGCTTCAGTTCAGGACGGTAGCAGACAGCAGATTTTGCGCCATAAATTCAATCTTTAATAACATCCACGAAACCGATTCTCTTCTACTTCGCCACAACCCAACCGAAGAAGAACTTTTTATCTCATTCTCCTATCTTGTTTTTCAAGTTTACTTTATACCTTCAATAACCTTCAATTATACTTTGAACTATTTTTTAAAAATAATTTTATTTTAAATAAATTTTTTTTAAAGATACTTATTAAGAAAAATTTTTTTAAATTAAAACGAAATTTTTTATCCCATTTATATGAAGATTAATTAAAAATTGCGTTTCACTTTACTTTAAAAACACCTTTCGCAAACCCCTTTGCACTGCATCCCATTCCCGGGGGCCGTTTAAAGAAATTTATCGTCGATAAATCATATCGAATAACGAAGTAAAAATTCTAATTTGCAATTTTAATGAGAGCAACCCGAACTTACTTGGAGCGGCGTGCGATCCAGAACTTCGTTCGGAAAGGATATTTCGAGACGAAATGAGACCGGGATCCAATCATTCTGTCAGTGGACTCCTCCCAGTACGCCCCTGATCAAATTAAATTACTTGCCTCCGATAATTACCCTATCAAGTATGCTGATTTTCATTTCTTGCTCACCTTATCTGGTTATGTTACTACTTATCACTGCAGTAAATGCGTTTTTGAATTATTCCGTTAAATTAACGACATTTTAACTTAACATAATAATAATTTTGCATAGATTTTTATGAGTTTTATTAAAATTTTTAATTAATTTTCCTCTTCTTCTTACTTAACCCCGAAATTCCCGTTTCTTCTCGAAATAAGTTACTATCAGTGTAACCAGCAATAATAATCGGTATTGTTAAAGGATGAGTGTACATTGGAAGAGAAAATATCTGTTCCTCCAAGAAATTCAAAGTCATCTTTACCACATTTTCTTCGTAAACACTTCCGGAGAATAAAGCTTTAATTAATTGGTGATGGATCTTTTTAAACTATAATTAAAAAAATTAATTTTTTATAACTTAAACCTTAATTAAAAGCAAGAACAAACCTTTTTTTCATTATTCATTTTGTAGATATGAATAATATCATCGATTAAACATTTTTTATACTTATCAGGCTAAAAATGTTGCTTTAAAAATTTATAATTCAAAAGAAATAAAATTTTTACCGGTCTAGATATCAACATTCTCGTCAGATTATCCCATAAATGTGGAAACATATAGTTGTAAATCGCCGAAAATTCATCTCCATTAAAGTAAGCCAAAAAATTGTTTATTTCGCCCACTTTATAGCGCGTCACTAACTTTTTAAACAAAACGTTGTGTTTTCCCCAAACGTTTAAGAAATTTAAAACTGAAATCGGCTAAAAAATAAATTATATTGAGTGATTTTCAAAATTATTCGATTAAAAACGCATACCTCCTTTGATAAACAAGATATTTCATCAATAATACCATATGAATTAATGTGTAGGCGACAATAACCTGTACCATCGAGGTTATGTGGACATCCAGTTGAAATTAGTTCACCCTATATATAAGAATTTGTTATGTTATGTAAATCATAAAATGAATAAATAAGAAATTATTTGCGATTAAAAATGGTTACATAATTTAAACTATGTAGGACTTTATGTGTCTATAAAATAATATGTACGAATATAGCCATCCTTCATGACTTCTGTTTCTTTATATTCCCTACTTTAGATTGGTGTTTGTGGCTGGCTGAAAGTGTTGTCGCTGATATAAAGTAACCCTTAAAAGTCATCTTAAAAAAGTGGACGGCCGAAGACAGCTAGCAACGACGAAACTACATTAAAGCTTTTGGTTGTTCAAGAACAACCGCAGAATCTTTAAAAACTATAAGCCGAGCTACAAAAAGTAGTGCCAAGTTGTCAAATTTTAAAACTGGAAAAGTTTCACCCATATAAGGTACTTCTTGTTTCCATGTTTTATTAGCTTTAGCTTATTCACGAACTTGGGGATGCCGATTATGACAGAAAAGTGCAGTTTTGCCAAGAAATGATTTTGCCAAGAAAAAGAGGTGTAAGGAAAATTAACAATTACCATTTAACATCCTTTTCTCCGACGAGGCAACTTTCATGTTAAACGGCACAGTAAATAGTCACAACAGCCGATATTGGAGTGACATCCATCCATATTATATTCAAGAAGGCCAATATCCAAAAAAAAGATAAATGTTTGGACTTGTATTCTTTGTGGTCAAATTATTGGACCTTTTTTTGTAAACACAACGTTAAATGCAGAGAGATATTTAAATCTACTTGAAAATGCAGTGCTTGCAGTTGAAGTTTTATTCCCAGGGGATAATGGTGGAATTGATCATGACATCATATTCCAGAAAGATGGAGCTCATCTGCATTCTTGGGAAATGGATTGGCAGACGAGGACCAATTTTAAGGCCAGCTAGATTTATCATCTTTAAACTTTTTCTTGTGGGTTTCTTGAAAGACAGAGTGTACGAGAATCGACCTCAAAATCTTAATCAGTTAGGTAAGAGAATAACAACTATAATACAGCTTTAAAGGTCGTCTTCAAAATTGTTTGGATGTAAATGGTGTCCAATTTGAACATTTGTTGTAATTTCCCTATCTCGGCTTTATATGCATCTCATTTAAAATAACAATATAGGTTGCCATAGCAACGATACAAGAAACAATACAAACAAGCAAATATCGCAAAAAAAGCCCCAAAAATAAAAAAAAAAACTTTAATTGAAAACTCCTTCCTTAAAAACAAAAACGGCAAAAGTAATGGCCAAAATCCAAAAAATTGAAAAACCCTGCAAAACGCAAACTCGTAATTACAATGCAATACGTAATATCACAAATTAATGCCTGGACGTCATCATTATTGCAGTAATCTTACCACTCCCAAGCAGAGTGTAGGTACGGTGACAAATCAAAGAGCAAAATGTTACAAATTAAAAAAACCCTCTTCATAATAAAATACGAAATAAACTACCAATCAATTTCAGTCTTCCATCTCTCTCTCAATTTTGACTAACTTCAACTGTCAAAAAATGATTTGTTAAGTAGTTGACCTCCTTAATGCAACATTTCCTGATCGAAAACTGCTTAGCTCATTAGTATGGTAAGCCTAGCTGTGTCTAACTTTAAAAAGCATAGATTTCTCGAAATCTGCCCGACCAAATCTTTCAGGGGAGGTTCAACAAAGTCATTGTAGATTCAGCTGATGATGGCCTACTAGCCGAAACCAGTACTGATTACATTAAATTTTATAGCGAGAAAGAAGTTATTTTATTTAAATACCTAAATTTTATATTTTTATATTTATTTACTTTTATAACTCGCAACATGGATTACCAAAGATTTCATAAATCAGTTTTTGACACTCAGGGAATTGTTTGAAACAATTGGTTACCATAGTTACTCATGGCAACTGCTATTTTTATCATGTCAAGTAAATTTGAAGAAGTTAATCTTTAAAGTAATTTTTCTCGACAATTTTCTTATGTAACCAATATTAATATTGAGTGTACTAGATTCAGAAAAAGATCCTCTTTCATATTCCGTAAAAAAATTGGAGGATTGCCGTTTGAAAAAAATATGGTGGAAAAAAATTTAAATCTTTAGACCCTTTTCAGGGATTTTTTCCATACACCGTTTATAATGATTTTATAGCCTATATCCGGTACTTTACAGACACACTGTATAATAAGTCCTCCTCCTTGCCACACAGTTAGTGTTACATGGCCACATAGTGCTAGTTCTAGTTTTACACTAGCACTATCACTAGAACTAACACAATACCTAGAACTAGAATCATTCGGGTTTAGCCGTCTTGAGAGACGTGCGGCTAAATCCGAATGTTTCTAGTTCTAGATATAGTGATAGTTCTAGTTTTACACTAGCACTATCTCTAGAACTAACACAATACCTGTTTCCGGTATGTAGTTTGTAAATGTTGTTATATTTCAAAAATTAATCGATTTCATTGATTTCATTTTATGTTTTTAACAATTGTTTAATGTAAATTAAATATTTTTACTTTAGCAAAATGTGTTTTATTAAACATAACGTAATTCTTATTAATACGGACCTGATGTCATAAAATTTATGAAATCAGGTGCGCCAGCTCAAAGGTTAAGGTTGACTAATTTCGTGTTAAATTATTCCAAAATCATGCTAAAACCCTTCAAGATTGAATAGTTTTTGTTCAGATTGTATCAGATCAAATAATGTCAAAAACTTTTCAAACTGAACGGTTTTGTATTAAAATCATATTATTCCCAGCGCCTCGGCGTTTTGAGGAAACCAGACGTCCCCCTCCGCCCTATCGTCAGCGCCATCAACTCCCCAACATACCAGCTGGCTAAACATCTTGCAAAGATTCTGTCCCCCTTTACAGGTAACACGGAATCGTATGTCAGGGATTCTACACATTTTGTGGAATCGGTAAAAGGTGTAAAGCTGGATGCTGGGGATATGTTGGTAAGTTTCGATGTGGAATCCCTTTTTACTAGGGTACCAGTTAAGGATGCTGTAGAGGGTCTTCGCCGAAAACTCATTCCGGAGGGTTTACCAGGATACGTGCCAGATCTGGTGGAGTATTGCTTATCGTCGACGTATTTCAGCTGGAAAGGAGAATTTTACGAGCAGTTCGAAGGGGCAGCCATGGGATCTCCACTATCGCCAGTTATAGCTAATTTCTACATGGAATTATTCGAAGAGGACGCTTTGAAGAAGAGCCAGTGGAAACCAAAACTATGGCTCCGATATGTGGATGACACGTTTGTGATATGGCAACATGGTCAAAAACGGCTCCAAGAGTTCTTGGATCACTTGAACTCTCAACATCCTATGATTAAGTTCACCATGGAAACAGAAACTGCCAAAAAACTACCTTTCCTAGATGTGTTGGTCACCAGGACGACAAATGGAGATATAGAACTTGGTGTATACCGAAAGAAGACCCATACCAACAGGTATTTACAGGCATGTTCACATCATCATCCCCAACAGAAGAGGTCCGTGATCCGTACATTATTTCAGCGAGCAGCGAGACTATGTGAAGGAGAGAACTTGAAGAAGGAGCAACACTTTCTACGAGGCGTGCTGCAGAAGAATGGATACACTTCGAGGGACATCAACCAGGCCATCAAGCAGCGAAAGCAGAAAGAGGACACGGTAAGTACAAAACCACTTGGATTTATCTGTCTTCCCTATGTTTCAGGTGTAACGGAACGAATTGCTAGGCACCTCAAGAAGAACGACATCGTAGTGCGGTACGGCACGGTCAGCAAAATTCGGAACACACTCCCGATAGCCAAGGACAAACTAACTCCATTAAAAGGAGCGGGAGTCTATCGACTATCGTGTAGTTGTGGGAAGGTTTATGTTGGCCAAACTGGACGCAACGTCGAGTGCCGCATCAAGGAGCATGAGAGGGATGTAAGGCTGAAGAAGATCCAGCAGTCGGCGGTTGCGGAACATTGCCATGCAGAGGGGCACCGAATAGACTTCGAACAAACAAAGGTGCTGGCTAGGGACAACAGATACTACCAAAGACTGACAAGAGAAGCCATAGAGATTCACCGACATAAAAATAACGTCAACAGAGAGGATGGTTGGGAGCTTAGCAGAACATGGAAGATGGTGGTGAACACGAAGACCTCTTCCCGCCTCACACCGGACGCGACGCAATTAGTTATTAATTAGTTTGTAATTAGCGTTAACTGATTATTATGAAGTTCTTAATGTAATCATTTTTAATCACACATTTTCTTCTTACCTGATTATAAATACCGCAATGAGATAAATACCCAGGATTTCTAACACATAAATAATTAACTCCACCTGGTAAAATGCAATTAACATAAACGGGCTCAACATATTCGGGTACATAATAATCGTGTTTTTCCGAATCACACCGATAAATTTTAAAAGGATCATTCAATTTCCCAGTAACAAGATAATCAGCTATCATATTAGCTAAAACCCGACCAATTTCGCCTTGGTTATAAAATTTATGACAGTTAGTTTCTGCATGATATCTTTTATGATATTTAGTACACGTTCCAGCAGCGAAAATAAAAGGATCGTTCGTCTGAAAATTAGGAGTTATCACTAAAGCCCCATCAAAAACTAATCCGGCGTTTTGAAACGCTTGCAAAGATGTTTGGCAAATGTATTTCTTTTCGTATACGAAAAGCGCAAGACAGTCCAAAGTGATTCTTCTAGTACCATTGCTACATTCAAAAGTAACCGATTTTATTCGATCCAATTCATCGTAATCCCAAGTGTATAAATAACCACGGTACATACGCACTCCGCGTTGTTTTAATCCGGCGAGAACGGCTTCTTCGATGGCATGATCCTTAAAAATTGGAATTCGTCCAGATTGGTGGTACTCATGAGCAGGAACGTGATCGACAAAAACTAAATAATTTTCAGGTAAACCCATATAAAGCAACGTTGAAATGCAACAAAACGCATTTAAAGAATGTCCATAAACGATAACGTTGCTTTGATTTCGCGACCAAGCTTTTTGTAAACGTTCCAAACATAACGACGCATCAACCTCTGTATTTATAATGAAAACGTTTTCGGGATATTCAATTCGCTTCTTTCTTGCCTCCAAAACTCGTTTTGGAATTTGGAATTGTACCCCGCAAGTTAAAATTAAAATATCGTAACAAATTTTATTATTTGAAACGGTTATCGTTTTCTCAGCCCGATTTATCCCGGTCATAATACCTTCAACGATATCGACATAAGCGCTTAATCCGTGCATATCTAACGTCCATTTATTAATATTACTCGATATTGGAATAAACCTGGTTAAGGTGTGGCTGCGATTAACTCCGTGAGCGGAAACGACAGTTATATTATTGTAAATTAATTGTTTTCCGGTATTACTTTTTATTAAAAGTGCGATTATAAATGATAATCCAACATCGCTAGCTCCCACAACAACAATTCGCGTGTTGATTTCAAATTTTGGTCGGCCACACAACGAAGGTGTTGAAATGAATAAGGTTGCAACGGGTCTGCATTCTTTTAAAGATGCGGGGATTTCGTAATAAGACTCTTTGTTTACTTTTAATTCGCCGATTTGAATCGGTAAAACTAATGTCATTTCAGCAATTATACACGGAACGAATTTCGGTTGAGGATCTAAAGTATAAAATAATTTGGAGTATTCGCTTAATCGATGAAGTTCTTGTAAAAAGAATAAGGCCGTTTTCTCGAATATTGGTAAAATAGTAAAATACAAAATATGACCGTAATCCATACTTCCCAATTGCATATCTGCTAAAGATTCTTTGCAATAAAAATGTGTACGAATGTATTCAATATCGTATTCTTGATTTAAAATGGAAAATCCTATAATTCTCGAATTACAAAGAAATACGTAAGTTCTTAACGACGTATGTTGGGCATGTATCGATTTTGAAAATAAATCGGCTAACTTTGCTGATTTATGAGAACCCATCAATTCGTAAATAAAAGACGAATCCGCAGAATAAGCTTCTCTAGCTGAAAATCGTCCCATCACTGAAAGTTTATGACTAACGTATAGTTCGTCGGGCATTGTTACATCTCTTCTTGTGTGGGCGCGTATAAATTTTTTTAAAATCGGTGGGGTCGGTTCGTTACAAGGTAAACTAAGTAAACAATAATCGAAATCTGGAAAACATTCGTAAGAAGCCAAAAATAATAAAGTTACTGCAAAGGCGTGTGTTTTTGCGACGGCGATAATTTCGATGGAATAGGCGTTTGGATCTCCGTCTACTAGTTTCAAATGGGTGCTTGATTTTAATTTGGATAATTCATTATATTTTCCTAAAAATTTCAAAATTAAAAAACAAAATTATTAGAATGTATTAAAATAATATGTAAATTGAATGAAAAAAAAATTAGACTTTAAGAATCGATATCTTTTTTTATTTGTATTTTTGTAATCCAACCCAACGATTATTATTATTACATCTCTTTAAAGAGAAAATTTTGAGATTTCATTTAATATAAATATCATTTCTCTGTGTCCATAAACACAGCTTCCAGGAATTTTTGAATTAGCATCTTTTTTGACATTTTGAGGTTATACGAAAATGTAAGTATTATTTCAAATTTTTTTTTCTCAATATTTTTTCAATCCAACCCAACGATTATTATGTATCATTTTAAAGAGAAAACTTTGAGCTTTAATTTAAAATAAGTTTCATTCCTTAATTTCAATAAATACGGCTTCCAAGAATTTTTAAATTAGCACCTTTTTTAACACTTTTAGATTATAGGAAAATGTAAATTTTATTTCAATATTTTTTTTCTGAATATTTTTCCAATCCAACCCAACAATTATTATGTATCATTTTAAAGAGAAAGCTTTGAGCTTTAATTTAAAATAAGTCTCATTCCTTAATTTCAATAAATACGGCTTCCAGGAATTTTTAAATTAGCATCTTTTTTGACACTTTTAGGTTATACGAAAATGTAAGTTTTGTTTCAACATTTTTTTTCTCAATATTTTTCCAATCCAACCCAACAATTATTATACATCATTTTAAAGAGAAAGCTTTGAGCTTTAATTTAAAATAAGTTTCATTCCTTAATTTCAATAAATACGGCTTCCAGGAATTTTTAAATTAGCATCTTTTTTGACACTTTTAGGTTATACGAAAATGTAAGTTTTGTTTCAACATTTTTTTTCTCAATATTTTTCCAATCCAACCCAACAATTATTATACATCATTTTAAAGAGAAAGCTTTGAGCTTTAATTTAGAATAAGTCTCATTCCTTAATTTCAATAAATACGGCTTCCAGGAATTTTTAAATTAGCATCTTTTTTGACACTTTTAGGTTATACGAAAATGTAAGTTTTGTTTCAACATTTTTTTTCTCAATATTTTTCCAATCCAACCCAACAATTATTATACATCATTTTAAAGAGAAAGCTTTGAGCTTTAATTTAGAATAAGTCTCATTCCTTAATTTCAATAAATACGGCTTCCAGGAATTTTTAAATTAGCATCTTTTTTGACACTTTTAGGTTATACGAAAATGTAAGTTTTGTTTCAACATTTTTTTTCTCAATATTTTTCCAATCCAACCCAACAATTATTATACATCATTTTAAAGAGAAAGCTTTGAGCTTTAATTTAGAATAAGTCTCATTCCTTAATTTCAATAAATACGGCTTCCAGGAATTTTTAAATTAGCATCTTTTTTGACACTTTTAGGTTATACGAAAATGTAAGTTTTGTTTCAACATTTTTTTTCTCAATATTTTTCCAATCCAACCCAACAATTATTATACATCATTTTAAAGAGAAAGCTTTGAGCTTTAATTTAGAATAAGTCTCATTCCTTAATTTCAATAAATACGGCTTCCAGGAATTTTTAAATTAGCATCTTTTTTGACACTTTTAGGTTATACGAAAATGTAAGTTTTGTTTCAACATTTTTTTTCTCAATATTTTTCCAATCCAACCCAACAATTATTATACATCATTTTAAAGAGAAAGCTTTGAGCTTTAATTTAGAATAAGTCTCATTCCTTAATTTCAATAAATACGGCTTCCAGGAATTTTTAAATTAGCATCTTTTTTGACACTTTTAGGTTATACGAAAATGTAAGTTTTGTTTCAACATTTTTTTTCTCAATATTTTTCCAATCCAACCCAACAATTATTATACATCGTTTAAAAGAGAAAGCTTTGAGCTTTAATTTAAAATAAGTCTCATTCCTTAATTTCAATAAATACGACTTTCAGGAATTTTTAAATTAGCACCTTTTTTTTCACTTTTAGGTTATACGAAAATGTAAGCTTTGTTTAAACTTTTTTGTTCTCAATATTTTCCCAATCCAACCCAACAATTATTATATATCATTTTAAAGAGAAAGCTTTGAGCTTTAATTTAAAATAAATGTCATTCCTTAATTTCAATAAATACGGCTTTCAGGAATTTTTAAATTAACATCTTTTTTGACACTTTTACGTTATACGAAAATACAAGTTTTATTTCAATATTTCTTTTCTCCATATTTTTCCAATTCAACCCAATGATTATTATATATCATTTTAAAGAGAAAGCTTTGAGCTTTAATTTAAAATAAGTCTCATTTCTTACTTATGTTGATGAGTCCTTATAGAAATCGATTCGCAAAGTCAAAAATTTTTCATTAATAATTTAAGAATTACCTTAAATATTTTTAAAACTATATTAATTTATTTACCTGAAGCAATTCTTCGTGCTTCCAATAATTTTTGAATTTCTTTACTTGTGTACGATAAAACAACACAGCTCATATTAAGCTCTAGATGACCAATAAGCAAGGAATCTTCTGATTTTTCATCGATAACCGCGTCTAGATCTACAAGACTATCAACCGATTGTTGATCAATATCAAGATCAATGTCAAAATCAGCGTCGCTAAGGATAAGTGAAATATTATCTTCGCTTTCATCATGTTTTACGTGTTTAGATACTGCTCCTGATAATAATCCACTGGGGATTGTGCGTATTGTAAAGTCTGATAAGCTTCTTACTTTAGACAAAGCAGAATCTCTATAAAACAAAAGTTAAATTTAAAATGAATGTTGTTTAATTAATGTTTATTACTTACATTTTGTGGACGTCGCTGACAAGCGCTGCATCAGAACTAACTTTTTTTAAACCAGATAACATTTCTAAATGAAATCCCAAGTTTAACATGGAGTAATTAACATTACTATTAACAATCATAACAGCAACAATGGCCTTGTTATATTCGGCGACGATAATTTCTCTTGTATTATTACCGCTGCTTAAAATTCCGGCAATATAATGTTTTCCGTACAATTCTTTTAAACTAGGACAAGTTTTGTGTAGTAAAGCAACGATGTCATCGTTATCGCCTTCAACAGCTTTTCTCGTTGTATACGAAGAAACAAAATTTGTTCTTCTAAGTAATAAAAGTCTTTGGGTTCGTCGCGGCCTATCCATTAATGGACAAGATATCATCGTTCCAAATTCAGCTATCCATTCGAATTGAGCTAAAAACGGTGGAATAACCATAACCATGAATTTAACATGTACGTATTTTTTAAAAACGTATTTTATAAACGCATCGGTTATATCGCGTCTCATATCAATTTTAAACAGAAATAAATGTATCCACAAAGTATTTTCCGGTGATAAAAAAGTAACCTCGTAATTTCGTTTTAACCAGGTTTCCCAAGAAGAAGTTGGAATACTCGGAATGTTTGGATAATTGTTCAACATCATTGTCGCTACAACTGTATTATTACATTCCAATAAAATAGAAATGTACGATTTTGACCATAATTGTTCGATATCAAAGTTACCATATAACATTTTAGCTTGAGCCATTCCGAAAAATCCAGCAAGAAGTTTTACGTTTTGTATATCCACATAATCCATGGGTCTTATTTTGTGGGTTCCAATTCGTTTGTCGGCGTTCTTAGGCGGTGGATTTACAAAATAAGATCCACTGCGAGATCGTTGCACTTCTTGGTACATAGTGGGTGATATAGAAAATTTTTCCGTTAAAATCCACTCAAGAAAAATTAATTAAGTTGTCCCCTTACACAAAAAAAAACTTGGGATGGTTAATTCACATTGGATGGTCCAAAAAAATTTGTAATACAAAAAAAAAACCAACCCTTAAACATAAAAAAGAAAAGGGGAAATAATTATATCATGTCATGCATAAAACTGCATGACAACATTTATAATTATTAAAAGATGACGTTTTTAATTGATTGTTTTTGACAAAATCAAAAAATAAATGTTAACCAGGATTTTTTTTTATTAAATAGAATTGACTAAATATACAGGGTGGCAGATAAAAAACGCCCCATTGTAACTCTGTCATTTATATTCCGATTTTCATGAGCGAGGTATCAATTCAAATGGTACAATGGCTACAAATAAATTTTTTCCAAGGCCATCTTCAATTTTAAGCGATTATTAGCTTTTGTTTTTCAAATTGCTCTATATATTTTTCTTCACGTCATTGAATAGAGACTATTTTTCAGAATCCATTAATGTACAATACATCCATTTTGAATGTAATTTTAGCAGAGAAAAGACACCTGTATCTACAGCAAGCTGTAACTCTGTCATTTACCTTCCTTACTAACTTCATGCTACAAATAAACTTTTTCCAACGCCATCTTCAATTTCAAGCGATTATCAACTTTTGATTTTCAAATTGCTAGGTGTGTTTTTCTTCACGTTATTAGATAGAAATTTTTTTTCTTAACCTATTACTGTACAATACATTAACGGTAATTATAATTTTAGCAGAGAAAAACAATTAAAACATTCTCCGAACATTATCTTAGTCACTTCAGTAATACTGTAGTGTGCCATGGAAAAAAATAATCAACCAATTTGTTATTGGTTGCCATGGTTACGCACGCCTACTACTATTTTTTATATCAAAGAATGGGAAATAACGAAACTTTAAATTAATTTTTCTCGAAAAGTTTCTTATGTAACCGATATTAATATTTATTGTACAGGGTGGGCAAATTTGGGTGTTATTATAGGCTATCTCCGAAACTATAAGATATACGAAAAAAGTAGATAAGCTAAAAATATGCTCTTTTCAGTAACACCATACTCTACTATAGTTTGTATTTAAAAAAATACAACTTTATGTTGTATCTCAAAAATTATCAAATATTNTTTTTTCTCAATATTTTTCCAATCCAACCCAACAATTATTATACATCGTTTTAAAGAGAAAGCTTTGAGCTTTAATTTAAAATAAGTCTCATTCCTTACTTTTTATAAACACAGTTTCCAGGAATTTTTAAATTATCGTCTTTTTTTGACATTTTTAGGTTATTCGAAAATGTAAGTTTTATTTCAACTTTTTTTTTCTCCACATTTTTGTGATACAACCCAACTATTATTATACATCCTTTTAAAGAGAAAGCCTTGAGGTTTAATTTAAAATAAGTCTCATTCCTTAATTTCAATAAATACAGCTTTCAGGAATTTTTAAATTAGCACCTTTTTTTTCACTTTTAGGTTATACGAAAATGTAAGCTTTGTTTAAACTTTTTTGTTCTTAATATTTTTCCAATCCAACCCAACAATTATTATACATCGTTTTAAAGAGAAAGCTTTGAGCTTTAATTTAAAATAAGGCTCATTCCTTACTTTCCATAAACAAAGCTTCCAGGAATTTTTAAATTATCGTCTTTTTTTGACATTTTTAGGTTATTCGAAAATGTAAGTTTTATTTCAACATTTTTTTTCTCCACATTTTTATGATCCAACCCAACAATTATTATACATCATTTTAAAGAGAAAGCTTTGAGCTTTAATTTAAAATAAGTCTCATTCCTTAATTTCTATAAACACAGCTTCCAGGAATTTTTAAAGTAGCGTCTTTTTTTGACATTTTTAGGTTATACGAAAATGTAAGTATTATTTCAACATTTCTTTTTTCAATATTTTCCCAATCCAACCTAACGATTATTATGTATCGTTTTAAAGAGAAAGCTTTAAGCTTTAATTTAAAATAAGTCTCATTCCTTAATTTCAATAAATGCGGCTTCCATGAATTTTTAAATTAGCATCTTTTTTGACATTTTTAGGTTATTCGAAAATGTATGTATTATTTCAACATTTCTTTTTTCAATATTTTCCCAATTCAACCTAACGATTATTATGTATCGTTTTAAAGAGAAAGCTTTGAGCTTTAATTTAAAATAAGTCTCATTCCTTACATTCTATAAACACAGCTTCTAGGAATTTTTAAATTAGCATCTTTTTTGANTTATTATAGACTATCTCCGAAACTATAAGATATACGAAAAAAGTAGATCATTGGATAGCTAAAAATATGCTCTTTTCAGTAACACCATACTCTACTATAGTTTGTATTTAAAAAAATACAACTTTATGTTGTATCTCAAAAATTATCAAATATTTTCAAAATTTTTCAACGTCAATATATTCTACTTAAAAAACTGTCTTAAGAACGTATCAACCCAATTTCTCTAATTTCAAAAATAAACGAAATATGAGCATTTTTAGAAATCACGAAAATTTTACTTTTTGACTATAACTTAAAAACAAAAGAAGATAGAGGTTTGGTGTTTGCAGGATTGGGTTAGTCTCGAAAAAAGAGACCGGGACATGGCACCTACTTTTTCGTATCTCTTATAGTTTCTGAGATAGCCTATAATAACACCCAAATTTGCCCACCCTGTACAATACATTAACATTAATTATAATTTTAGCAGAGGAAAACATTTTCCGAACATTATCTTAGTCAGTAATACTGTAGTGTGCCATGGAAAAAAATAATCAATCAATTTGTTATTGGTTGCCATGGTTACGCACGGCTACTACTATTTTTTATATCAAAGAATGGGAAATAATGAAACTTTAAATTAATTTTTCTCGAAAAGTTTTGTTATGTAACCGATATTAATATTTATTGTACATAATTCAGAAAAAATCCNACCCAACAATTATTATACATCATTTTAAAGAGAAAGCTTTGAGCTTTAATTTAAAATAAGTCTGATTCCTTAATTTCAATAAATACGGCTTCTATGAATTTTTAAATTAGCATCTTTTTTGACATTTTTAGGTTATACGAAAATGTAAGTATTATTTCAACATTTTTTTTCTCCACATTTTTGTGATCCAACCCAACCATTATTATACATCATTTTAAAAAGAAAGCTTTGAGCTTTAATTTAAAATAAGTCTCATTCCTTAATTTCAATAAATACAGCTTCCTTGAATTTTTAAATTAGCACCTTTTTTGACATTTTTAGGTTATTCCAAAATGTAAGTTTTATTTCAATTTTTTTTTCTCCACATTTTTGTGATCCAACCCAACCATTATTATACATCATTTTAAAGAGAAAGCTTTGAGCTTTAATTTAAAATAAGTCTCATTCATTAATTTCAATAAATACGGCTTTCAGGAATTTTTAAATTAGCACCTTTTTTGACATTTTTAGGTTATTCCAAAATGTAAGTTTTATTTCAACATTTCTTTTTTTAATATTTCCCAATCCAACCTAACGATTATTGTATATCATTTTAAAGAGAAAGCTTTGAGCTTTAATTTAAAATAAGTCTCATTCCTTACTTTCTATACACACAGCTTCCAGGAATTTTTAAATAAGCGTCTTTTTTTGACATTTTCAGGTTATACGAAAATGTAAGTATTATTTCAACTTTTTTTTTCTCTACATTTTTATGATCCAACCTAACCATTATTATACATCATTTTAAAGAGAAAGCTTTGAGCTTTAATTTAAAATAAGTCTAATTCCTTAATTTCAATAAATACGGCTTCCAGGAATTTTTAAATTAACACCTTTTTTTTCACTTTTATGTTATACGAAAATGTAAGCTTCGTTTAAACTTTCTTTTTGTCAATATTTTTCCAATCCAACCCAACAATTATTATACATCGTTTAAAAGAGAAAGCTTTGAGCTTTAATTTAAAATAAGTCTCATTCCTTAATTTCAATAAATACGACTTTCAGGAATTTTTAAATTAGCACCTTTTTTTTCACTTTTAGGTTATACGAAAATGTAAGCTTTGTTTAAACTTTTTTGTTCTCAATATTTTCCCAATTCAACCCAACAGTTATTATATATCATTTTAAAGAGAAAGCTTTGAGCTTTAATTTAAAATAAGTCTCATTCCTTAATTTCAATAAATACGACTTTCAGGAATTTTTAAATTAGCACCTTTTTTTTCACTTTTAGGTTATACGAAAATGTAAGCTTTGTTTAAACTTTTTTGTTCTCAATATTTTCCCAATTCAACCCAACAGTTATTATATATCATTTTAAAGAGAAAGCTTTGAGCTTTAATTTAAAATAAATGTCATTCCTTAATTTCAATAAATACGGCTTCCAGGAATTTTTAAATTAACACCTTTTTTTTTCAGTTTTATGTTATACGAAAATGTAAGCTTCGTTTAAACTTTCTTTTTGTCAATATTTTTCCAATCCAACCCAACAATTATTATACATCGTTTAAAAGAGAAAGCTTTGAGCTTTAATTTAAAATAAGTCTCATTCCTTAATTTCAATAAATACGACTTTCAGGAATTTTTAAATTAGCACCTTTTTTTTCACTTTTAGGTTATACGAAAATGTAAGCTTTGTTTAAACTTTTTTGTTCTCAATATTTTCCCAATTCAACCCNATTATCTTCTTCAGTAATACTGTAGTGTGCCATGGAAAAAAATAATCAACCAACTTGTTATTGGTTGCCATGGTTACGCACGGCTACTACTATTTTTTATATCAAAGAATGGGAAATAATGAAACTTTAAATTAATTTTTCTCGAAAAGTTTTGTTATGTAACCGATATTAATATTTATTGTACATAATTCAGAAAAAATCCTCTTTCTAATTCCGATATAAAAAATAGGGTGTTCCATTAAAAAAAAACTTCGATGACGTCATAACTCATTTAAAAATGGCGGAAAAAATTTAAAATGTACACCAAAAAATTGCAAAAAATTTAAATGTTTAGACCCGTTTCAGCGATTTTTCATAAATTGTTTATAATAATTTTACCCAATTTATCCGTTACTTTTGAAACGCACTGTATATATTTTTAACCAGTATTCGTTACCTAAAATATCTGAGAGAACAGTAAAAATATCTACCGAAAAGCAGGATGAAGATTCAGGTTTAGCTGCCATATTTTCCTTTTTATTTGCTTAGGCGTCAAGTTCAAGGTTGAGACTGAATTTGTGGCCACCACCGTTAATGTTTTTCCCACCAATCAAAGCCAATGGAGTCAATGTGATACCGTCTCTTAAACGTTGTTTATAGCCCAAACCAATTTGACTGGTGTTTCTTGGTATGGTTCCCAACTTGATGTCGTCACTTCCAGAAGACCACGCCAACTGAATAGCAGTCTCAAGTCGAGGGGACACCCTCTGGTAAATGTTATCATCAAATTCGCTTAAATCGAGATTGGTGTGAAGGATAAAATCGCCAGTTGAGAATCCAAGGGTGAAGTTATTTTTCGTTAACTTCTTATTTTCAGCATCAAAAGCCGCTTGGTAACCAGCCAGCCAACCTTGATAACCGATAACAGCGGACCCTTGGATAATAGGACCCTTAGCACCCTTAAGATCAAAGTTTGCGATTATAGCAGTGTAATCGTTATTATAGGCGGTCGATAGAGTACCAAATTTGTTTCCTGTTTGAGGGGCGAAAGTGCAAAAATATTGCCTGAACTTTTCCCAAATTGTTCCTATTTCTGGGTTAATACAACAATCCTTGCATTTCAAGAAATAAAAGAGTCCTTTATCATCTTTCCCCTCTTCTCGTCTTTGCCTTTTCTGCGTCCGCATCTCCTGGTGTACTCGATCTTGTCCATTTCGGTTTCAAAATTTGCGTGGCTGCAAACCGAGGTGTCGTTCCTGGGATAAAACATATATATGTATAATTATTATATTAATAATTAAAAGGTTTTTAAAAACCTTGGATTTAGGGAATGGATTTTGTAGGCATGATGCAGCAGCTCATGACATGCAGATACTTGGGAGTTGAACTATCAAGTAACGGTAATATTTACGAGGAAGTATCCCAATAAGTGAGCAAAGCCAGTAAAATCGCAGACAGTCTAAACGACACTTTATGGAGGAACAAACATCTACATATTAACACAAAATAGACATACGGCTGAGAGTGGACCTGGTATGTCTAAAACAAAACGATTATTGTAAACAGCAGAAATGAAGATACTTCGCAGAATGACTCCAAACGATAGAGAAAGAAGCGAAGACATAAGAACAAAACAAGACATTACATGTTATCAAAATAAAGCTGAAACATTCTATTTTGAAATAATATATAAAACATGTTCAGGAAAATTTCTTTCTAACAAAATGACGTTTAGTATACAAAATAAACATTTCTTTGTAAAACGAAGTGGTTTTTATACAAAAAGTAACGAACAAGAATTACAAAGAATACAATATCTTAGTATTCCTTCATATAATTTTTAATCTAATCCTATTTATATTTCCGGTATTTAACCGAACCCAAATTATCGTTACTCTTCAAATAATATTCCGTCGGTTTCAGAATTCAATTAAGGCCTCAATCGGACGTCGGATACACGATTGCAGTGGGTTCGGTTTTAATTTCGGTTTATTACCGTTTGTAAACACGGTCATTTGGGAATCGTCGGCGAAGACTTGGAAAGGGAGAAATTACGTTAACGGCACTGCGAGCGCCGTTTCTAATAACAGTATAAGGTTTATCCTCCTCCTTCTCTTCGTCTCCTCGTAATCGTTCTTCCTCTCATTCTCTTCTTGTCGTATAACCTTTTCCTTTTCACTCGCTCCTATAAACCCTATGCCCACCACATAAACGAACGTGAGATAATTCACCGATAATGTTTAAACGTGCACAAGAAACGATTACGGGGAGCATTTAGATTATTTTAGATCATTTTAGATTATTTTAGATCATTAGTTTGGTGTAATTGGAAAATCTTAACTAATTTTAGTTGTTTGATGTGGTTGATTGAAACTTTATTGATAATATTTAAATTATTGAAAACGTAGTTATTTCGAAATTTTACGATTGTTAAGGGTTTCTTGTTTAGTAATTATCGAAGGTTTATTACAAAACTATAATAACTTTATGGCTTCCATCGTAAATTCTTGTCTTTTCCTTGAGTTTATGAATCCGCGTTGCCAATGAATCAGTTAAAGTTTTTTAGAGCCCGCGGTAATTGACTATAACAACTTAATCCCGCTTCGTCGAACAATTAACCTCCTTAATTTATGTAATACGTGGGTCGTAGTCGTACATTAACGATTACAAATGATCAAAAAATTCGCCCGGAAGCGATACGGTATAAATTTACTTTAACGATCGACGAATATCCTCAAAAACAATTTATAAATGAGAATTAAAAAAATAATAGAAATTTAAATCATGATGTTATTTTGAGTGGGAGTTTAAAACACAAACGAAAGATTATTTAAATATTTATACGGATATAATAATAATTTGAGGGTTAAATCACCACGAGGACTTTAGTTTCTTCGTCGAGGATCGTAAAACTGATGGTTTTATGTAAAAGCGCACCGAAAGGCATGCTTGTGTATGCAAGCACCGTTTGATTCGGTTGAGTTATACCGATCGCAGCACGAACCAAAGGTGGAGGGACTCTTAACAGCGGGACGTTGGATAAACCCCTTGCTTTACACCTACGGTATAATAAAATCAACTCCAATAAAACTGGCAAAGTGAAGATATAATACTCCTATATCACAGACGCCTATTTACCATTAAAGCACCGTGTATATACGCGAAGACTAAAGACACTGACCACGGCGGTCTTGGAGGTTATTAAAATCCGAACCAACCCAAGTTTAGTTTATACTTGAAACAACAAGATTTAATTAAAAAAATTTTACTTTCAAAATAAAAAAGTTATCCAATAAATTTTTCCTTCTAAGTTTGTTTCAAAGCCTAATTAGATGCGGCTGTATTTTAAGGAATTAAATTTATGGCCTCATATGGCCTGCATTTTTAGTTCGTTTCTATTTACACAATGAATCCGTGATAAGCCAAAAGACAACGAAATACTAACACAAAACCAAGTGTAAACTTTAACTCTGAATCTACAAACGACCAAGAAACAAAGTACTCACAAAAGAATGAATCAAAAAATCATTGAAAAATCAGGTAGATATAATACCAAAACCAAAATATTTTGAAGATCCAATACATTATTGGAGAATACCAAAATTTGGATAAGAAGCACTAGACAACTACTCATGCCAAATACCAAATCTAAAAAAAATCGCTGCTAAAATCTGTACAAAACGAAGATCCATGTTGGAATCGATCAAACACAAGAAGAGCCAGAAATGGATGACTGAATGACTAATCATACCTTAGCTCCCTTGGATACATAGATAGGTAAACCTGACAGATGGAAAACCTTGTTTTAGAGAAAAATGGAGGGCAAAAGATCACTGAGAAAACCACCGATAAAATGGGAAGAAAGCTGAAGATGACACTTGATGCACCAAGTGTACAGATGGTGGAAAATAACTGGGAGAAATACTTACTAAAACTTTCTCAAGGATACAGGTACTGACTGTAACAGTACAGAATTATAAGTAATGGAAAGTCGCTTTAGAATATTACCCAGGTATCGATATATTTGCGTATACTGGGTGATGTCTTATCTGCAAGGTTTTGTGCATCTTTTTCATTCTATTATATTCCGGAAACGTAGCTGAGAGGCTACTTCTTCACCTAGGTACCTTCCCCTTGGTTAGTCTCTATAAATGACACTATAGAGACATCGTTGTGGCAACGTGGTACCAATGGAGACTGACTGAGTGTGTTTAAAAAGCTTCATGACGCTATCTAAGCATCGATACCACAACGCCCTTATTTGGGGATATCCGCAGCATGACGAAATTCCGCGAGACGTGAGAAGGATTGGGGATCCGAACTTCAAAGCAGTATCCTTGAATATGGAGGAAAATAAAGGTGGTCTTCATACCTAGAGGTGGTAGGCGTTCAAACGCCAACCCCAAAGCATACAGACCAACTAGCCTAACTTCATTTCTCCTTAAAGGGATGGAAAAGGTAATCGATCAATACCTTAGGAATGGAGTGCTTGTCACTAATCCACTCCACCCTAGCCAACATGCTTGCCAGAAAGCAAAATCAACAATTACTGCTCTCCATGCTTTTACTAGCACTTTAGAGGAGGCAATTGCAACCAAAGAGATTAACCTTTTGATAACACCTCCTATGAAGCCATAGCTCTAAACGTAAAAGATAAACATCCGTCGAAAATCAAATAGTGTATAGCCATGTTAAAAAGTCGGCAGATCACAGCCAGTGTGGAAGGCGAGTCGTTGTCTATAAACGTGCTAAGAGGACGTCCCCAAGGGGGGGGTGCTATCACCTCTACTATGGTGCCTGGTAGTTGATGTCTTGATGAACATCCTAAAAAAAAGGATTCAAGATTCAGGGGTATGCTGATGACCTGGTAATCACAATCCGAGGAAAATATGATACAATCACAACTCAACTAATACAAAAAGCCCTATTACTCACCAGTACTTGGTGTAGAAGCAATGGGCTCAGCATCAATCCAAATAAAATCGAAATAGTCCCTTTCGCTCGGAGAAGGAAGCTACAAATAAAAGCATCCTCCATTGAAAGCAGAACTATTAACCGCAAAACAAAAGTTAAATACCTAAACTAAACTGGAACTCACACTTAGATAAGGCGAGGAAAAAGGCCATCATAGCAAACCAGATCTGCCGCAGGGTCCTAGGATGGAACTGGGGTCTCAAACCACGAATGGCTCATTGGGCCTACGTAGCAATAATCAGACCCATGGTCGCCTACGCCACATTGGTTTGGTGGTCAAAAACAAAACATAAGACAGCACAACAACAGCTGGCACAAATCTAGCGGTTAACATGTATTAATTAATAGAACATAGAACGGATAATAGCTCTGCTCGGTCTCACACCACTCCATTTATATACACAAAAGGAGGCAGCTTCAAGGGCCTTATCACTGAAAACAGTTTCTTCACTCAAGTTGATGCAGGGTAACCACAGAGGACACCTCGAAATCCTCAAGGAGCCATGTCTAAATCACCTGATTGAAATTAAAACGGACCTTATACCGACAGAATACAATTTCAACCAGCCGTATAAGGCCATATTTAGAAGCAGGGATGATTGGGCGAAGGGTGTGCTTCAACTATAAAGAGGAGCCCTAGCCTGGTACAGCGATGCTTCAAAGACAGTTAGATCCGGAGTAGGTATGTATAGCCATATTAAACTGCCCTTCAGCTCGGACATAACAATTTTGCAAGCAGAAGTTCTTGCTATAAACTTCTGCACCACTTTGAACCAACAGAAGCGACAGAAAGGTGCATCCATAAACATTTTCACAGCAGTCGGGCCGCCTTAAAGGCAATTCAGGCCTACATGTGTGACTCCGCACTGATCAGAAAGTGTACCAGCAACCTGAGAGAATTTGCTAGGGGTAATGATTTTACCCTATGGTGGGTTCCAGCTCACAGCAACATTGAAGGCAATGAGAAGGCGGACAAGCTAGCCAGAGAGGCAGCTTCCTTGGACTCCAACCTGGTTATGGACTGCAAAAAATCCACCTAAAACATATAATCAACAGTTGGGAGGTCTCAAAGATAGCCTTACACTGGAAAGAACTTCCAAGTCACAGACAAGCGAAGAGTATGATAACCTCCTTCCACATTGGACAAGCTGAGGATCAAACTTGTCGACTTTGCAACGACGAGTCAAAACCAACTGAATATATATTGTGTTATTGCGTCGCCAGAGGCCGACTAAGACACAAAATTTTCGGTAAAACTCTCTTGACACCTACCG